GTTGCAGAAATCAGGGCAAAATCACGACGCAGACATTGCAATAGAATTTGTAATGAACAAGGAATCCGGGGAGTATTCCTTTTCCTATAATTTTTTTTATTTACTCTCTCTTCTAGACTTGAACATTGGGGACAATGTTTAATTTAAGTTTGGGGGTAAGGAATCCAGCCAATCCCCAGACCTTGTCCCTTCTTGTTATGTTCTAAGATGTCATCATTAAAGGGATTTTTCTTAAACCATCCATTCCACACTAGTTCGCCGGATGTATTTTGCCTTGTGTTTTGTTTGCGGGATGTATAAAAACGCACCAACAACGCACGATTCCACCAGAACAAGAATTCAATAAAATACATGGAATAAAACGGCATCAAAAGTATAGATTCAACAGCCTTTAAAATCAAACCACCAACCTAAAAAAACTAGAAAAAACAGTAATAAGCCACTGGATCTAGGAACTTACTGGTTGAAGATTGATGCACACCACTGCATCTGGGATTGATGTCGGAAAACTGAGCTTCAATAGAGCAGCGAGATCGGGATAAGGTAAATCGTTCCAATTGGGTGAGAATGAAGAAGAAAAGAGACCGAAAGAAGGAGATGGTCGCCGGTGAGGAATAGTGAAAAGGTGTGGTCTTTACGCTTTGATTAGTTGTGGAAAATATGAAGAAATTATTGATCATTTACTGTTCTGTGAGGAATCCTGAAAAGTATGGTTTTTTCTTTTTTTTTTTACAAAAATAATAATTAATAAGTTAATTTTTATTAATAAATAACAATTAAAGATTCATTCAATCCCCGATCAATATCCTACCTCCATTGAGGGGCGCGGCCATCGCGGCCGGTTGGTGGATTTAAAAAAAGTATGGTCTTTGTGCTATGACTGATTTTGTGGAAAATATGCAGAATGATTGATCATTTACTGTTCCCCTGTGAGAAATCGCAGAGAGTATGCTCCTATATCTCTTTAAGACTGATGACGATAGACGATAGTGACCCTGAGAATTAGACATTTGTGCTTATTTTTTTAATATTAAATTATTTATATTAATAACTTATTGATCTAAATAAAAAAATTAATTTTTTAAATTTAAATTTTATAAATAAAAAAATAAATATTAAAATTTTTTTTGTTTTTATAAGATATAATTTGATTTGATTTTAAATTAATTAAAATTTAATAAAATTTTTAAATATTAAAAATTAATAAAGAAACTAAATTATTTATTTATTTTTTATATTTTTTTTATCACGTGGGTCAGTGGGTTACGAGAATTAGATATTTGTGTTGGTTAAAGCCAACTATCATCCCTTAAAAAAAAAAGTTCAATTTAATTTTTTTATTATGAAATCGCCCTTCTCCTTCTACTTTTCAAAAAGTGCTCAATTTCGTCCCTCCGTCCATTTCCTGGCTGACGGCATCTTTTTGGACCGTTAAAAGCTAGACGTTGAGGCGTTTGCAAGTCTTCCTAATTTTTTTCATAGTCCCGATCGGAAGCTTCTCGCGCTCCACGTATTCAGCAAATGGTTTGGCACGATGTGGAACTTTACACTATGGATACAGTTGTGCGAGCCAGCACAATAGAGAAGATCGTCACGTCCTTGATAGTAAAAACGATGATGTTGTTAGGAGTGACAAGTTTGTGATACTGGACTCTCATCGTGAGAGAAACAACATTGAATCGATTGTTTGGAGAAAGCGAGGAGATGGAATTGGATAAAGCTATAAACAATATTACAATGAAATAATTTTAAAATGGTACAAATCATGTTGAAATATGTATACATGAAGAAAAATTTATTTATATATAAATTTTATATATTACATTTATATAAAATTTTAATAAATTTTTTTATTTTTAATAATTAATATTTATTATAATTTTTAAAATAAAAAATTATTATTTTTAATAAATATAAATAAATTTTAATCATTCAAAATAAAAAAAATCATTTAAAATTTTATATAAATAAAAAATAAAAAATTTATATTTTTAACTCATATATATAGTTTCATTCTTTCATAAAAAAAGTAGTACTTTTTATAAAAACTCGAATAATCATAAATTATATCTCTCTTATTTATCCATGTTTCCCTATTGCACCAGTCGACGGGGTGTAGGCGTGGAAATTGTTGTTTTGTAGGGAGTAAATTTCCTATTTATAGTGTTGAGTAGGACAAACTGTTTCATTTTCTTTGGAATAAGGTGTAATTTAAAAAAAGAAAAAAGAAAAAATATTACATTTCTCCTTAAAAAGGCTTAAAAATACTTACGGTGCATTACTAACTCACCTGAACTATTTTTGTTTTTTTTTGGGTAAATAACTCACCTGAAACTGTTAGTGCGAGTGGGATAGACTGCTTGCAAAATTTCTCTTATGGTGAAGGTGCAAGCTCGTGGAAAAGGTATTCGAAAATGTGAGTCCCACAATGCCAGGTTGTAAGAAAAAAAATTAAAAAAGCTTGCAAACGTCTGACCGTCATCCTTTTAACGGTAAAAAACACTCCGTTAGCCAAGGGATGTACGGAGGGGCCAAATTGAGCACTTTTTGAATGGTAACGAGAGGATATGTTAAATTGGAGGAAAATTTTAAAAGTTGTTTTTAAAATATAGAAAAAATTGAGTAAAAAATGAGTTTATAAAAAGTTTGAATTTGAAAATTTTTAATTTTTATTATTTGAAATTTTTTTAAAGTTAAAAAAAGTTTTAAAATGTAAGTTTTCAAGAAAGAAATTTAAATTTATGAAATATAAATAGTGTAAAAAAATCTAAACTGCAAGAAGCAGAACTAAACAGGCTTGAAATAAACTATAGGAGGACATGAGACGATTTCATAGTAGAAAGATTAAGGGTCCGTCTGATATAATGGTTTTAGGGTAGCGATTAGAGGTTTTACCTAAACTGTTAAATATAGGTATAGGGGTGTTCACACATTCGATCCAATCTGATTGATTTGACCTAAACTGATCCAATCCAATAAAAAACTAAACCAAACCGATATAAAATTGGGTTAGTCAGTTTGGTTTGTAATTTTACCTTCAAACTGTCCGAATCGCCCGATTACAAAATAAAATCAGATTACACAATAATTTAATTAAATAATATAGTATATTTTTTTGTAATATTTTAAATTTGTTTATTATTTTAGAAGATGATAACTTCATTAACTTAATTTAAAAATAAAAATAAAATATCTCTATATTTTCTAATTTATTTTCCTTTCTAAATCGTGTACTCTAACTCTAATTATAAATTTCTAATTTATTTGTAATTCTATTTTTTATAACTAGTTTATGACTATATTATGAGAACTTTAAAATTTTAATTTGTTCTTAAAATGTTATTCTGATTCTCTTAATTAAATTTTAAGAAATATCATTCTAGAAGTCTTAAAACTATATAATAGAACTAAATTTAATATTCTATTATTTTTGAATATTTGGTTAAGAAATTTTAAATTTTAATTATGAATACTTTTAATCATTCCAAATGACATTTATGTTAAATTTTAATTGCTTTTAATAAGGTTTGGAAGATGGAATTGAATCATTTGCTGCATTAAGGAAAAAAATTAGTTTTAACTTTTAAGAATTACTTGTACTGTATTTAAAATTTAAAATTATCTTTTATTATTCTTGATGCCTCTAATGATGTAGTCAAGAAGAATTTCCAAATCTTTTCAATTTTTACAATTATAAATGAGTATAAAAACTTGTTTATAATTTATGCATTTTATTATGTTTTAATTTGCATGTTAATGTATTTTATAACTATATTTTCTATTTAATATTAAAATTTTTTATATTATTTCATACATTTAATAGTGTTAAAAACCGATCAATTTGACTAAACCACACCAATTCAATTTAAATTGAATTAATTTGGTTATCATATAATAATGGATTGAATTGGTTTAAAAAATATTAAAATCCGAAACAAACCACACCGTAAACACCCCTATATAGGTGTTTGGTAAATTTATATATTTCAAAACCGCTACAGATAAAGTGTTTGGTAAAATTTTGATTTAGCAATTTGAAATTAGCAGATAGCGGTTAGGTTCAAACTGCTAGCAAATTGAAAAAACAAGTTTATGTGACTTTTTGTACTAAATCGTGTGGATTAAAATTTTTTAATTTTATTGACAAATTTATACATTTTAATTTTTTAATTTGTGGTCACATTTTTTAATTAATAATTATCTAATAAATTTCAATTTTATTTTTTTACCTTTAATAACATTAAGTGATTATAATATTT